GTCTTGAAATCTGCAAGATATGTATAGTTTAAGGCACTGGGGATCCAAAGCAAGGGGTATCTTCGCTTTGATTTCTGGCTACTTGCTTATGTGAGAAACCGATGATGATGATGTTAATGAAAAACAATCTTGAGCTTTTTTGAAGACATGGAATGCCCCTGTATCATACCAAACTGGGCTGAAAATGAAAGCAAAATAGGCCCAGGGATGGTGGGGGCCCAGTCATGGGCTCTGGTGCCATCAGGGTGGCAACACAATGGTGGTATGTGGGTCCCATGGAGAATGGTTCCCAGCTATGGGCCTGAACATTTCCAACTGTGTACCATTAGGCTGTGATAAGCAACAGTCTCAGCATAAATCAATAAAGGCTATTTCTCACTCATACTTCATGTCTATCATGGGTTGGCAGAGGGAAAGAGAGAGCTGAGGAAGATCTTGCAGTGGTAAATACATACACATCACTTCCCCTTACAACTCACTGGCCAGAACTAGTCATGTGGCTCTGACAGCTCACGGGAGACAAAGAGGTGCAATCCTACCAAGTGCCTTAGAATGGGGGAGACCTGGAATTACCTGGCAAAGAGCACAGACTACCTTATTTCATAGAATAATCAGATAACCTATTGAAAAACCAGGGGCTTTCTCTTGAAAATTTCTGCCTACTTACTTCCCACGGTTAGAGAATATATTAAATTTTGAATAATAATTTTAATTCCGTTTCTTGGTACATAACAGGTCTACGTAGAGAGTTAGACTTACTCTATTTCTATTTTTGCCTGACTTCTCAGTTTTAAGTTACAGTTATCACCATAAAGAAAAGTAATTAATTGGTGTTGTAGACTAATCCATATGCCACCAAAATATGATAGAATGCAAATGAAACATGTCTCCATATGCCTTTTTCATTTGTTATTCCTTATTCTGGTTCTTCCTAGACATGTTCTTTGTACAGGCAGACATCTCTTCTAATTTTTATGCCAATACATTCTGTTTTTGTTGTGATTTTGTTATTATTTTTAATCTAAGTTATATATATAACACTTTGAAGAGTCAAATGGTTCTATAAGGCCTGTTATGAAAAACAGTTCACACAGCCCCACCCTCTACTTCCTGCTCTCCAGAAGGGACCACTTTCAATTCTTTTACCCATTTTTTTTTCATCTCAATATCTCTAGCTTATATTGCTACCTCTTTACTTTTTCTAGAGACTATTACACACTTATTTTTCACTATGGAAGATAAAGATTTAGGTCTAGTGACCACTACCACCTGCTCACTCCCCTCCCCATGCAAACACACAGTTCCCACACCCAATATTCTCCACAGAATTTTATCATGATTTGTAAAAAAATATCTTATTTATTCATTTATTTGAGAGAGAGAGAATCTGAAGCAGACTCTGTGCTGAGTGCAGAGCCTGATAAGGGGCTCAATCCTACAACCAAGAGATCATGACCTGAGCCGAAACCAAGAGTCGGATGCTCAGTTGCCTGAGCTGCCCAGGTGCCCCTCCCCCCATGATTTTGATTAGATTAATAGTCAATAGGCTTTCAGTATAATGTCTATGTAAATTCTAGTCATGGCTCAGTTACAAGGCTTATCATAACCTTTCTTCCTCTGTTCTTCTTTGGAGTTACAAATTGTCCTGTGTTTCAGTGGCTTAGTTTCTATAAAGTTATCATTAATTCAAACCCAAACTCACCCTTAGTTTAAACCTCTTAACTTGTTCAAATATATTACTTGTTCCCCAAATAGCATCTTTTTGGAGAAAACTTTCTAGAACCTTCTGACTTGCTCCCACCTGGGCTGGCTACTGCTCTCTGGACCTGCTAAATAGCTGTGCTCTATTTAGTTTTGGAAGCTCCCCATATTATCATTCTGAGGAATCTTTTTTTTTTTTTTTAAGATTTTATTTATTTATTCATAAGAGACAGAGAGACAGAGAGAGAGAGGCAGAGGGAGAAGCAGGCTCCCAAGGAGCAGGGAGCCCAATGCAGGACTCGATCCCAGGATGCTGGGATCATGACCTGAGCCGAAGGCAGACGCTTAACCATCTGAGCCACCCAGGCACCCTCATTCTGAGGAATCTTTTTGTCTTGCTCTGGATACTCCACTTTCCTTGTTCTCAGGTATTGCCCATCCTTAGTGTATGTCCTTATTTTTGTAGATCACATCCTCCAGTGGATTCTGAGAATGGGTACGTGGGAATAAGGTTTTTGAATCTTGACTACCTGAAAGTGGCTTAATTCTAACCTCACAATTAGTTTGGTGAGGTATTGAATCAAGGCCAGAAGTAATTTTCTCTTAGAACTTTAAAGGTGTTCCTCCATTGCCTTGCTTCTTGTGTTCCTATGAGCAATTTGTAGCTATTTTTTTTTTTTTAAAGATTTTATTTATTTATTTGAGAGAGAGAGTGAGAGAGAGAAAGAGCACAAGAGGGGGGAGCGGGAGAGTGAGAAGCAGACTCCCTGCTGAGCAGGTAGCCTGATGCGGGACTCGATCCTGGGACTCCAGGATCATGACCTGAGCCGAAGGCAGTCGCTTAACCAACTGAGCCACCCAGGCGCCCTGTAGCTATTTTAATTCCTGATCCTTTGATGGAAATCCTTCTTTTCCCTCAACTCTATAAATTTGGAGGATATCTCTTTGTTCTCAGAGTTCTGACCTTTTATAGGGATGTATCTGGGTGTGGGTTTATTTTTACTTGTGTGGGACTTTCTAGGATTTTTTCAATCTGAAAACTCAGGTCTTTCATAAGTGGAATGTTTAATTAATTATATTTTTTATTATCTCCTTCCTTTCATTTTCTCCTCTCTCTGTCTGGAACTTCTATTTTTCAGGTTTTGAACCTCTTAGGTTGGTTCTCTAATTTTCTTCTATTTTTCTCCCTTACTTTCTATTTCTGTCTTGTATTTTGTTTTCTTGGGAGAGTTCCTCAATTTTATCAATTCCAGCTCTTCTACTAAGCTTTACATTTCAGACATCATATTTTGATATCTAATAGCTTTTGTCCTTACTCTCTGAATGCTTTCTTTCTTTTTTTTCTTTCTCTCTCTTTTTTCTGAAGCGTTCTTCCCCTACATAAACTGTTTTCTCCCAGTTACTTTCTTCTATTTGCTTTTGCCGGTCTTTAACTAACAGATGCTCTCTTCAAGTATCTGGTGAACCCTGGCTGTCATGTAAAGTAGTCTGAACTAAAAGCTAAGAGAAACTTCTGTGTGTGGATAGAGCTGTGAAGGGTGGGTCCACTCTAAAGTGAACTGGCTGTTTCCCTGGACAACACCTAAGGTCAGTATATTTGTGTGTTTTTAAAAATTTGTAACTTTTATCTAGAGAAAACTCTTTTCATCTCCTGCCTGAAGGGACAGACATCCTGGTATTCTGGGAAGCAAGTGGGGTGAGGCCTGGGGATCTCAGATTCAGCATTTAAATATATTCATCATTCCTCTTCTGGTAGGGGGTACTCAAATGTGCCTGACCTCTCTCAGTCCGGAGACATTCTGTTTTACACTTTTCAGAGGAGTAAACCTCCAGTCTTCTGCCAGAGTGGGAAAGGGAATCTACTTGCTTCTTTTTTCTTTTGTTTTAATTCCAGTACAGTTAACATACAGTGTTATATTAGTTTCAAGTGTAATATAGTGATTCAGCAGTTCCATACATCACCTGGTGCTCATCACAAGTGCCCTCCTTCATCCCCATCACCTGTTTCACCCATTCCTCTAATTGCTTCTTGAAAAGCAAGTTCCAACTTCACTCCATTTACAGCTCCTGAGCTTCGAGAGGAGTTTACAATCTAAGTCAAGTTGCTTCTTGGTTTTTACCTACTGCTGACTTAACATTTAGTTTTCTTAGGCTGCTAAGTCAGTTACCACTTAACATCTGTTTTACAAGGAACAAAATCTTGTTACTATCTTTTCTCCTGTTTCCTTATTCCTTGAGGGTTTACCTTTAACAACGCTGACTGTCCTTGGAGTGGAGGCTAGGAGGGAGCAGAGCTAACTGCTTGCATTAAAGCTGCCATCCTTAAATGAGAGTTCCATTCTATTCTTCTACAAATCAGAGAATCATAGTTGTCACATGTGAAAGGGACTCCAAGAGACTATGTGGTGAACTCTTCCTTCGGAGGGCAAAGTGTGTTGTTTCATTTGTAGATGACATAGTTGAAGTACCAGGAATCTGAGTATCTTGCCCAAGGTCCTACCCCGTCATACAAGTAGATATCACGCTGTTATCTATTCTATGTACCATAAATAATTGTCCCTCAAAGGTTTGAAAGTTTTGTTGTTGTTTTCTAATTTAGAACTAGTTTAGTAATAGCTAGATCCTTTTCTGTAATACCTTATATGGGCATCTTCTTCCAGTGGGCAGATGGATTCTTTATATTAGAATACTAGGTGTTGAATTACCCATAAGATGTGGCTAAATGTTTTATTTTTTGTGAAGTTGGCATAAAAACAATTTCAGACACAACCAGATTTTTAAAGTGGTTGATATGCTTTAGATATGTCCTTCTGAGCAATGTATACAAAGGATCTTAGAGAGTAGCTATCAACATACCATCATGTAAATGTAATTTGTATAACTTTTTAAAACAAGTGGTAAAATAATTACTTTTCAAGAAATAACTTAAAACTGAAAAAACACTGTGGTTTGTTTTATAAGTGTCTTAATCTATTATTTGGTATAATGCTACTTGTTACATTTTAGAAAAAAACGCAGGCTTTGACAAAAAAGCATTTGCAGAGGAAGAAAGGACGGAGATTTGGGATTCTATTTACTTTAAACTGATGCTGCTTTTTTTTCTCCCAGTGCGATGCAGACTGTGGCCTTAAAATATTACTACGTTAAATAATAAAAGTAAAAAATTTTGATGAAATTATTTGTTTTAGTTTGTAGACATGTTAAGAGCTTTATAAAACTCAGTACTGAAGGCCTTTTAACAAATGCAGTACTCTAGAGAAAGATGAAGGATAAAAGGAAAAGTGTCCTTAAATACTTACAGATTCTTTTCTGCCCATAGTTTTGCTGTGTGAGCGGGAACGGGAGATGTTGCTAAAAAAGGAATCCTTTTTAGTAGCAGATGAAGGTGGGGAGCCAGTGAATTCTCTTCCTCCAGGCAAACTTTCAGTGCTTGGGGATGAACTGATGGTTTTGGAACTTTGTCCTGTAGGAAAAATTAAGAGGCAATAATGAAACACTAGACTTCTTCACTAAGCTACTTTATTCACGGTCTTTAATAAAGGATCGATTATTATACTTCTTTGCTCACACTGTCAACCTAAGGACACTGTGGGTTATTAAAATGCACACACTTTTATGTATCAGGACAGATGCCAGGTTTTTAAGACACTGAAGTGACGCTATCCTTTTCCACATGTAATTTATGCTACAATAGTCTGAGTGTTGCACACATATAAAAAAACTCAAAGTTCTACATTTTAGAAATCACAGGTTAGATAACCAGATTTTCCCTCACTAAAGGAATCATCCTTAGCGACAGAAGCCAGAAATTATTATACCATACAGTATTAACATTAAAAAATCTAAATCCTTTAGCAGTTTTTTGAAAGAGCGTCTTTCCTTTTCACTAACTGTGGAACAGATATATGGCTCCCCCCAGCTATGGGAGAAGCATCTGAAAAATGGGACAAGGTGCTGGCTCATAGGGCCTCTCTCTAGACCGGGTCTTACATCAGAGTGGGTGCATCTGTGACCCCCACCATCTGTTATTCTGCTTAGCAAATGACCTTTTCAGAGAGAACACTAAGGTCAGCTCCCATTAGAATGTACCTCTGAATTATCAAGTCCCACATTAGTGGTAGTATTGATAAGGTACTGATTGGCCTATATCTCACAGAAAACCCCTGCACCAAATACATTTTTTTCCCTCAATTACAGAACTAGCTTACTAACATTTTTGTTCTCTTTGGGAACACAAACATTTAGACCTTAAGAAAATGGGAGTCACCAGAACACGTCCCCAAAGGGGATGATGGAGTCTTTCACCTGGAGATCTGAGGGAAAAGCCTGGGCATGCCTTGAGACAGAAGAAAGGGCTCTCAGACTTCCCTGCCCTTTCCATGCCTTGTACACATAGAAGGGGACAACACTGGTATGGCACACTGGGCAAATGGACGAGACACTGCATGAGCTAGGCCTCCCCCGGACGGCTCCCAAGGGGAGCAGTCAGTATTCTCACTCAACAAGCTTGGAGCCCCGAAGCTGTCCAGCGGTTCTGAACTTCTCTTTAAACCTTTTAAGGTTTTTTTTTTTTTTTTTTTAAAGATTTTATTTATTTATCTGAGACAGAGAGAATGAGAGAGACAGAGAGCACATGAGAGGGGGGAGGGTCAGAGGGAGAAGCAGGCTCCCTGCGGAGCAGGGAGCCCGATGCGGGACTCGATCCCAGGACTCCAGGATCATGACCTGAGCCGAAGGCAGTCGCTTAACCAACTGAGCCACCCAGGCGCCCTTAAAGTTTTTAACTGATAGGAACAACATTAATCATTTCTTTTGTTGCATTAAACCTGAAAGCCTATTCTCAGAGGGGCACTCTTCAATATATTGCTGTGGTGCCCTGCCCAAGTCCCCCCTTCAGGACTAAGCCATTTATTCTCCCAGCCACCGGGCGTGCTGGCTGATGATGGTTCTTAGGAATTCCTCTCTGGAAACAGCCCTCAGCTGAAGACAGCTGCTCTGTCTACGATCCTGTCCTTCCCCAGGGATTACCTCCAATCTAGTGCCTGGATGGGGGCAGAGGATAAAGGCTGGCCTTGCCTCAAGGCGGATGACGCCGAAGGGCCAGCCCAGCCCCAGAAGTTCCAGCAGCAACTGCAAAGCAGCTCAACTTCTCCCTCCGCTCACGCGGCTCCTTTCACTCCCCAGATGCTCACCTTGTTGGCACGCACCGCCCCCCCAACAGCTTCCTACCCAGAAATCTTTGTCTCACAGTTTATTTCTCAGAAATCCTGACTCATGACAATTATTTAGAATTATTTTCGATTGTAGGCATTTTTAAATATACTAAGTAAAGACCAAATTCTTAGGCCACCTCAGGCATGCACATATTCTTTCACTCATAACCAAACACCAGGGAACAAGGCCCATGCAGATGGAGCTTATGGAATCCCCACAGATACGCTGTCCAGCACTAAGGATGAGGGATGACCACAACAGGAGCTCCTAAAAAGCTCCTAAAAATAGCAGTACAAGGGAAACACAGACTGGCATGCACACTGACTAACCTGCAATCTCAGGGGATAAAAGCGAACACCGAAGTGTAAATGACAGTACTCTGGAAGCACAAAAGGAGCATCTGATCCCGTCTCAGGCAATGGGTACGCGCCCCATCCTAGAGCCTGAAGAGCAGGCGGTGCTGGGGGTGGTGGTGGTGGCGGCGGCGGCTCAGGAAGGGTCATTCTCGGCAGAGAACACAGTACTTATCAAGGCAACCGGTAAATACTACTGGGAGCATCTAGCTCCAGCAGAGCCTCACTAAATCCCTTGGAGCTTCCTGCCATCCATATGTAATTGAAAATGACACCAATACTAGCGTCCCAGAGTGCTTCTCTTGCATGTAATGATTATTTCACTGGGAGAGAATCAAACTCTTTCTAGAAGTTGCTGGTACCCTAAATGTGAGTTTATTTTCCCTCTTGGTCACCCAGCCCTAGGGGGAGGGAGGAAAAAGGGAAGGTGAGGATCTAAATAGGGCCAGTTAGATCAAGAGAAGCCCTTTGTTCTCATGCTAAGGGGTCTGGCCCTTATCCTGTCAGTAGATGATGGGAGTTACTACAGATTTTAAGGAGGAAAGTAGCAGGAGGACTACAGGAGCTTGGTTGAGTAAGGCATCCCTGTACCTGCCCACACAAGAGATTATAAGGGCTTAAGCTAAGGCTGTTTCCGAGGCAGAATTCCTCAAACCAGTACCTGCGGGGTCTGATACACCTAGGCTTGAGTCTAAGCCCAGTGGATATCTAGTTGTGGGGCCTTGAACAATTCCCTGACCCTCCCTAAGCCATGGTTCTCATCTATAGGTGAGACCTCTTCCTCATACATGCTTTGTACCCCAAGTGGGTAACGTGCATAAAAGGCTCAGTGTGGCTGAGCGTATCAGAGAGTATGCTAAGTAGTCAGTAGATAGGAACCATCACTAGCACAGCGGTGACTCCCAGATCTAGAGCAGGGAGTTTAATATGCGGTACCGTGGGTTGCAGACTTGCTAGTCCTCTCTCCTGTTAGGACTAGTCTTACATTGGCTGCACCTCTCTTTAGTGACTTTAGTGAACCAGCTCTGAGCACAGGACGACCACATAGGCCATACAGGAGACTGCCTAGTGGGGTGGCTGGCATCCGGGACCTGCTCTGCTGTTCTGCTTGTGAAGATGCACGCCCTGCCATGAGCTGCATCTGCACAGAAGGGGTAGCTTTTTCTAGTGCACAAAGGTGCTACTTGGACTAAGTATGGATGTGTCTAGGTATATTAAATCTTTCCTTCATTAAATCTTTTCCTCTCTGAAACATCCAATGAAAGTTTTGTGTCCCATGTGTTACATGTCAGTGGAGGTTTTTGTCAAGAGCCCAAGCTGACTGAATGAGCTTCACAGGCCTCATGAAGAGCCCCCACTACAGAACGGCTAGGAGGGAGGAAAGGGGGAAAGGGAGAAAATATTTATTGAGCGCCATCATATTCTTGTGGTTTTTCTCTCACTAAACTCAAGGGGAAATAAGAACAGGGACTGGGGGGTATTCCTACGTGGACAGGCAGAACCCCTGTAAACTTGAAACCAGCCAGAGGAGCTGGACACGGGACAACCAAAGGCAACATGTTAAGAAGGCTAGGAAGCCTGGGGATCGTTGGTGGGGAGGCATAGCTCGGAAGAGCAAAAAGGGAAAGGCCTGGGAAGCCCAGTGCTGTGGCCACAGAAAGGGGATCACCTTGACTTTACTCAATGACCTAGGAGAAAATGAGATACATTTTGCCGCCTCACAGGCTTGAATGGCAGACAGACAGCAAGAAGATTGATGTTTACACATTAAAAACATACATCCTGGTGTCACAGGACAGTGAACGGAATCCTGAAGCCCCTGGAATAGACCAGCTCCAGTCTGACCACAGTCTAGTCTAAGCACTGTTGGAGGTGCCCACATGCAAACATGTGGTTATAGGATATCAGAAGTAATGATTAAACAAAGGAAAGACAGAGGTGTTGAGCTGGCTCTTTCATAATTTGATTCTGAAAACCAGAGCGATTTGAACAGAACACATAATAGTGCCAGCATCATCTCTACCATCCGAGCAGGTAGCACTCTTGAGTCCTTACTGTGGGGCAGGCGCTGGGGTAACTTCCAACGACCCACCCTGAAGCAGCTGTTCTTTTTTTTGTCTTCCCAGATAAGAGGGTATGTAACCTCCCTAAGTCATCCGGCCAGGCAGTGATGGAGGCAGAATTTAAACCCAGACCCAACTCTGGAGCCCATGCTGGGCAAAGCTGCACCCCCCTCCGCCCCTAATAAGGGCTGTGCCAGGTGGGCTGTTGTACATGTGACCTCGAGTTAAAGAAAAACGGAATGAGGTCTTTTGAAAGTAAAGGGCAAATTCTGCCCTTATTCTCGTTGTTTATTCAATGTCTTCTGGAAGTAAGTGTTCCACAATGCATTTTCTAGCTAACTGATGCTTCTCCAAATTTGTTTTACATATCATATGTTTCTCCGACTCCTTAAAGTGATTACCCAGAACATAATGGAACTGTTTGTCTTGCTTCACGACTATCATTTCTTATCAAGAAGCAGAGTGGCTAACATGGGGTCAATCACGAGGATAGCTTTTGGTTCCTCAGTCTCTCTTCTCTTCTCAATCCTGTGAGTAGGAGCTCTTTGTGTGATCATCACTATGTTCTACTCTAGTTAATGTGACCTCTCTTTTCGTTGTTCTACCAATTTGTTGCTTGTCATCTGCACCGGGGCATTTCTGGTAGTGCTTTGTTCTTGAAGGGCCAGAGGAGAGTCAACTCTGGACATGGGGGCTGTTACCGCGCTCATGTGACTTACACGTTATTTCTCCATTTAAAATCTATTTTTTTTTCCTAGAAGGAATTACCAAAAACTTAACAATGGTTACCTTTAGGGAAATGGGATGGCAGAAACAAGTGGGAGGAATAAACA